ATGCAATGAGAGATTTTAGCCTAAAGAGCCAAGGTGTAAAGATTGGGTCGGTCTTGATCACAATAAAGACCGACTCAATACTATGATTAAGGTCTTCGTTCTTGGTCTTCGTTTAGCTCTTGCTCTTATCTTCGTTCTTCGCCTTGTATATTCAATGTTCGACTTGATCACGGCGGTTTGGCATTATCAAAACCTGTTACAAAAACAAACACGGCTTTAGTACGAAAACGTGACAAGCCCGTTTTTCAACAATTTCCCCCTTTTTGTTAATGGCAAACAAGACGGGGTTATGCATAGGAGGATTATTTTGAAAAAAATGTTCCCCCTTAATAGATGCCATTTTACAAAAAAATTCCAACTCAATTTATGCATAACCTTAATATCTTCCCCCTTTTGACATTAGCAAAAAGAATTAAAAGTAAACTTTAGAACTGTAAAAGTAAACTTTTATTCATGAAAAAAGGGAAATGCGGAATACAACGGAATAAAAAAAATACAATCATAGTAAGAGGAGAAAAGAAAAGTCTAAGCATCGGCGTCCTCGTCGTTATCCTCGTCGTCCTCGACGTCCATGGGATCGCCGTCGACCGCATCTTCAAAGTCGGCCTCGTCGGGGGAGGAGGATGGAGCATAGGAGTTATCCTCCTCGTCCTCGCCTTCATAGTTTTGTCCGAGGAAGGTGCTGTCAAAGGGCGGCGGGACGTAGTTGATGCCGCGAAAGAACGCCGTCATGTCGTGGTGTTGGCGTTGCAGCGTCCAGTCCATCCGCTCGATTGACTGCCCCATGCCATCCACTGTGAGGGTTAGCCGATTCAGAGTATCGGCTATGGATTGCAAAGAGGCCTTGGCGGGAGCGGGGGCTGGTGCACGGCTTGGGCCTGCGCCGTCCCGGTCTCCGGACTTCTTCCGGAAGGTGCTGTCTTGAATTATCCAAATCTTTGTCATCTTCGTATCCGGGCCGGCGATGGAGATGTCGGCGGAGATGATGAGGTCCATGACGAGGAAGGCGTATGGCAAGCTCCGCTCAGTGGCGATGGAGGCGCAATCCGCCATGTGGATCATAACGAATTTCGCCCAATTGATGGAGGCGCCGTGGATGATGGCATGAATCGCCTTCAAGTCCTCGTTGAAGAGCGAGGTATGGCTGCTGTCCCGGGGGCGGAGAATCCGGGTGATGATGTAGAGGAGGAGGCGCTTGTCCGGTGGGGCCGAGTGAATCGTCGGTGCGCCGTTGTGGCGGATGAGGTTGGTGATCCCAAGCTCTCGGATGACCACCGCCTCGTTGTTGAGGATCCAATCATCGCCGCCATATGTTGCGATGTCGTCACCGCGGATGGGCAGCCCTGCGACCCGAGCAAAGGTAGGCAAATCAATCTCTATGTCGTAGAGATTGATGCTGCTGCGAATGGTGTCCCCGTCACGGCGGAGATTGGAGTAGAATGCCCGGACGAAGGCGGGATTGAAGCTCGAGCGGCTTTTGGAGACGAATGGCCACAAACCCGACGCTTGGAGTTGGTTGTCGAGGTCGTGGTACCCTTTGTGTTGGGGAAACAACTCCGGGAGCACGCGAGGTGGAGAGATCGGGCGCTTGGCAAAGTGAGTGAGGAAGCGTGTGAGTTCTTCCTCCGACCCGAACTCAAGAAATGATCCGTCCAAATATGGGAACGGAGGAGGCGCGGAGCTTGAGGGTTCGGCAGTGCTTTTCTTCTTGGAAGCTTTAGACTTTGATCTTCCTCCGGCCATGATTGAGGCGTTTTTGAAGAAAGATTGAAGAAATAAGTGGTATAGGCTAAAGAAATGAAATAATGATGTTAATTGTGTGTTAAGAAGGTAAGGAATGATGTGAATATATAGGGAGAGGAGGAAAAAGACGTGTGAATTCAAAAAATATGGCTGTTGGGCATTAAATTCGGTGCCCAACGGCCATAATTTTTGAATTTCAACAGCCTTCCCAGCGATGGTAGGAACTACCCATCGATGGGAGGGTCGCTACTGGAAAGCGAAGGAGAAAATCAGATTGCCTTCCCAGCGATGTGTGGACTCTCCCATCGATGGGAAGGTGGGTTCTGGAAAGTGAAGGATAAAGGACGAAAGCCTTCCCAGCGATGTTAATACCATCCCATCGCTGGGTTTGGTAGTTTTGAAAATCCGTTAAAAATTTTTAAAAAATAGTGTCAAACACCCAGCGATGGGAGGAACTTCCCATCGATGGGTTGGGAGGTTCTGAAACAAAAGCAAGCACTCACCCAGCGATGGGATAAACTACCCATCGATGGGTAAAGGTGTTCTGGAAATCTGTTAACCATTTTTTTTAAAAAAATAGAGTCAACAACCCATCGATGGGGGGGAAGTTCCCATCGATGGGAAGAGGGGTTTTGAAAGCAAGAAGCTTCCCTCCCAGCGATGGTATAACCCACCCATCGCTGGTTCCCCCTGACTTCCGGATTTCTTCACTTTGGACCGTTCCTGCAAAAAAGGAACAACACTTTGGTACCCAAAGTAAGTCTATGGGTCCTTGGGGGTTAGTTTACCTTTATTGCCCACACACACCCAAAATATGTTTCCATATGCGCACACACGCACATACACGATTAAATGATTGTTTAGGAGTTACCTTGGCCAAACCATCGTCTCGTGGTTGGCGGGTTCCAATCTACCTGAACGGAGTGCCGATATCTCGGTGTGATTTGTGTCGGTTCCGGTAACGGAATGTGGACATTCTTCTTTTCGTCAAAGTAGAAGAAATAATAAGGTTTCTTTTGTGCATTGTCCTGTGGAGATTGTTTATGATTTGAATATCCTTTTCCAAAGGATTTCTTTTCATTAACACCAAATACGTTGTGTGTTTCATTGTAGGTGAAGTGCCTATGTCTGGTGAAACACACGGGAGCTATATGTCCTACCCTATTGCAATAGTGGCATACTACGTTTGGGTTGAACATGTGCCTAGGTTGATAATAGCTGGGGGGCCTAACCATATTCATTCTATTTTGGGAAAATATTGGTTTTTGAAAACTCTCTCTTCTAGGTGTTCTAGCATTATTTTGTCTATTTGAAAAATTAATTTTATGCACAAAATCATTTTGATAGTTTTTCTTGGGTTGTCTAACATGCACATTTTCATTCCTAGGCTTTTGTCTAGGTTGTCTAGTGTCCTTAGGTTGACTAGATTTTCTATTATCCTGATTTTTACTTTTCT